GTGTCTTCTTGTGGTAGATACCTAGTAGTGGGATTGCTGGGTCATATGGAAGCTCCATTTTTAGCAATTTGAGAAACCTCCAATTTTCCATAGTGGTTTTACTAGTTTGCATTCCCAACAGGAGTGCAGGAGAGTTCCCTTTTCTCCACATCCTAGCCAATTTTTGTTGTTGCTAGTTGTTTTAATATGTGCCATTCTCACCGGTGTGGAGGTGGCATCTCATTGTGGTTTTGACTTGGGCTTCTCTTATTACAAGTGATGCTGAACTTTCTTTTTTTTTTTTCATATGCCGGTTGGCTGTTGGGGGTAGCCTTAGAAGGGTTGCCGGCTGAGCCTGTGGTTGATCTGGTCTATATATAATTGGTTATAATTTCGCCTCTTATTTATAATCCTACTTGTTTGAATTTTAGGCCTTTATTTCTTTGTGAGCTGTAAGAGGTTGTCTATTTTATGTATTTTTTTCAAAGAACCAGTTTTTTGTTTCTTTTATCTTTTGGATTGTCTTTTTTTTATATTTTATGTCATTTATTTCTTCTTAATTTTTATTATTTCTTCCTTCTGCTGACTTTGGACATTTTTGTTGTTGTTGTTCTTTTTCTAGTTTCTCAAGATGGGAGACTAGGTTGTTTCTTTGGTGCATTTCTTGTTTCTTGATATGGACCTGTATTGCAATATACTTTCTTCATAATACCACTTGTTGAGTCCTATACATTCTGGAAATTGTACCATCTTTGTCATTTGTCTCAAGGTACTTCTTTTTTTTATTTCTTCTTTTATTTCTTCGTTAACACAATGTTTTCCAGTAGCAGGTTACTTTGTGTTAGCTTATTTATGTATTTATTTACATTGTTCTTCATTTTGTGCATTTTTTCATCTCGGTTGTAATCCCAGTGGGCTTCCCACAACCAAATCACTTTTGTGCCATCATCATTGTCCTATGTACTCTCCCCATCCCTGTAAAATATCTCTGGTTTATAAGTGTTCATTGTTTTTTGTTTTTACTTTATTACAGTTGATTATTTTCTTTTTCACTGATCCTTTACGCTCCTGCTATGAGTGAAACCATCCAGTATTTTTCTATTTCTTTCTGGATTATTTCACTAAGCATGATCCCTTCCAGCTCCATCAATGTTGCTGCAAAGGCATGAATTTATCTTTTTTGATTGCTGAGTAATATTCCATTGTGTATATGCACACATCTTTTTAATCCAGTCATCAATTTTTGGACATTTGGGTTGATTCAAAAATATGAAATACTTCATGAATTTACATGTCCTCCTTGCAAAGGGGCCATGATAATTTTCTCTGTATCATCCAATTTTGTATATGTGCTGACAAAGTGAGAACTACTTTATGTTAAAGAATTTTCTTAAACATTTCTTGTAAGATATACCTAGTGGTGATGAACTACCTTAGATTTTAAGTCCATAGGAAGAACTGTTTCTCCTTTTTTTTTTAATGGTTAATTTTTGTCATGTACACTATTCTTGGTATGCATATTTTTTTCATTTAATACACTGAATATATTATCCACTCTCTCCTGCCCTACACCATTTCTATTGATAAATTAATTGATAGTCTTTTAAGGGTTATCTTAAATGTGAAAAGGCACTTATAAATCACTTATTTCTCCCACTTTTCTGAAAAAAAAACATGTACTTAATTTTTGGCAACTTCATTATAATATGTTCAGGAATAATCTTTGGGATGATTCTATTTGGGAACTAGTGAATTTTGTCTACCTGGATGTCTATTTCACTTTCATGATTTGGGAAGTTCCCAGCCATTATTTCTTTAAGTAAGTATTCTGCTCCCTCCCTTCACTCTTCTATTTCTGTAACTCATAGTGCATATATTGATTACAAATAAATTATATTCAGGTCTACAAATTATATATTCTGATTTTCTGATATTGCTTTTGAAGTTTCTTTATGTATTTTCCATTTCATTCTCTGTACTCTTCAGTTCTAGAATTTTTATTTCTTCCTTTTTCATTATTTCTTTTTGTTGAATTTTTTATTTTTTTCAAACATTTTTTCCTGATTTTGTTGAATTGTCCTTTTGTGTTTTCTTGTATCTTACTGAACATCTTTAATACAATAAATTGTAGTTCTTTGAAGGTGTAGTCTACATCAACTGAGTTTCACATTGGTGATGTTGCAATATTTCTCAAGCGACAAATATGCAGGTGTCCACAATAGTGGAAAGGTCTTTTGAAGTCCCCAAGCATGAGAGATACTTTCATCTTACTGTTTATATTTTCTCTCAAGAGGCAAAATCATGACTGTGATGTCCCTTTGCACTATGTCGTACATGTGGATGCACACAGAGCACATGAAGCAACTGTGACTCAAAACTTGTGTAATGTGATGTCTCAGTGTTTGGTGTTCAGAGCACCTTGTTTGCATTTTGGGGTAGGGACAGTTCTTGTTAGGGGAGAAGTGCCAAGTGCTAACTTCATATGGGGTAGATCAACAGTGAATCTTTCTGAATAGGGGAACAAAAGCAGAGCTTGTTCCTTCTGAAGATAATTAATAACAGCTCTCTGTATGTGGCTCTATCTCTGGGAAAAAGCAGACGGTAACTTCTTTTGGAAATATCGAGTGTCAGTAGCTTCATTTTTAAGTAATTAGGGTGTCTATATTCTTTAGAGAGCTAAGTCAGTACCTTCTTGGTGTTATATATGACAGTAATGACTCTTTCTGGGTATAAACAGAGCAATAATACGTACTTTTCCTGGGGAATGCAGCAATGATAGCTCCTTGTGGAGGAAAGCATGGCAGCAGTTTATTTTATCTGGTTGTGTGTTAAGAAGTGGCTGCAACTCCTACTCTGGGGTGGATAGTAGAACCTCCTGTGGTGCTGGAGGTGGAAATCCTTGAAGATGTGACTCATTTGAGGAATATATATTAACCATGGGTAATTGAGTAGGGGACAGGGAAATGAAGCCTTAGGCAAGAAAGTACAGTGGAGGTTCCTTGGAAAGTTAGCTGATGGCAACTCTTCCTGGACAGATCAACTGAAACTTCTGTTTGTGTTGAGGGTAGAGATGTGATAACTCCTTATAGAAGTTGTAGAGATTAATGGGCTCTAGGTAACTCAGTCAGGTGGGATCAGCATCAAAAAAACTGCCTGTTGAGGGCTGGTAGAATCACCTGCTGTTCCTTTTCTCTATATCATTTCTTCTTGAGAGTTGGGTCAGACTACAATGATGTAGTAAGAAACTTCCAACACTTTTCTATATGGTTTTTATCAATGTTTTTGTTTCCTTTTGTTTTCTCTGTGGATTACTTATAGTTCCTATTATATTTTAGAGATATTTCATGTGTATATACTTTTGAAACTTCCTGTGTCTGCTATTTTGCTAACATTAATTCAATTTGTATATAATTTTAGAATACACTTAAATTCTGAGCATTGTTAATACATTAAGTATCTTAATAGCTGATATTCCCTGGTGGTCTAGTGATTAAGTCTCAGCATTATCACTATTACAGTCTGAGTTTGATCCCTGACCAGTCTGAGTTTAATCCAGGCACATATGGTGCAGTAGACCTCTCCTGTCCCACCCACTGCTCCTCTCAGCAGGAATTTCAGTCAATCTGCCTGTTTTGCTCCCCACTTTGTCTCTGGTGAATCTCACCTTCTTCACCTGTGGCCTACATACTCTGCTACACACACACATAGACACAAAGTAAATTAGTAGGCATCTAGGGTTTGGATAGTAGGTGGACTAGGGGATGATATTTATGAAGTATATAGATTTTTCGTTTTATTTATTTATTTATTTTTGGTGGTAGTGACTTTTCTTTTTTTTTTAAGATTTATTATTTATGTATACAGAACTGGGATGCAGGCCAGATGTGCGGGTGTGATGAGAGGATTCACCAGAGACAGAGTGGGGATCAGAACAGGCAGATCAATGAAGTACATTGATGGAGGGAGCAGCGGGTAGGTCAGGAGAGTGCTGCCATGTCATGTGGGTCACCTTTGTGGTGGGGTCACACTCGCACTGATGCAGCTGACTGGCATGCAGTGCTATGTTTTAACCTGCTGCACCACCAGATAGGGGTCAGTAGTGACTTTTCTAAAGTTGATCATTGTATGGTTGCAAAATTCTGTGAACTTACTACAAACATTTAACATTATACTTTAAAAAAAAATTCCATGATAGATAAACTATATGCCACTAAAATTGTTATAAAGATTAATGTGGCATCAGTGGAAACTGGAGGTAGAAAAACTTGTTAGTAGGTCTTCTAACAGTAAAATTGAGAAAATAAGTATCTAAACTAGACCAGGATTGCTCAAATTGGAAGAAGAGTATAGATAGAAAGTATCATGTAAAGTTACATTCAATAGGATTTACCACTTGACAGAATGCTGAGTGTGTGCATGTGGGGAAACAAAACATCTGAAGTTTTGAGTTTGATAACTAAAATTTTCATGTAACTACTAGATACTTGAAACACATATTGAGTAATTATGCTCTTTTTACAAAAGAAGTGAGTTCTTAACAATTTCAGTTTTTGATGTGCTGTTGGGGTAATCAATTTTCTGATTGAAAATTTTGGATTAGAGCTTAATGATAAAAGAGGTCTAGGTAGGTACTTAAGAGCCATCATTATATAGATTTTAGTTGACATCAGAATAGTGATTCTGATGGTAAAAGAGAATAAGAGGAATAGAATCAGAGCAGGTGGGAGGTGGCAGCAGGTGGGAGGTGGCAGCAGTAAAAGGGTACCAAAACAGTCAAAGATGGAAAGACATTACAAGCAGAGAAAATATTTACAATGATTGCAACTGGACTTGTAAGGATAGGAAATGTATGAGAGAGCCTGCTGGTGTCCCAAGAAGGAGATGTACAAAAGTCACAAAACTAAAATGGATACTAATATAGAAATGAAATGGTCTTAATGGTACTGTGATTCACCCACCATAGTCTGGGAGTTTGCAGGAATGTCTGACATTGTCCAACTGAGATACCATTACCTTCCTAGGGGAAGTACTTACTTACCAATGGAAAATCCCAGAGAGATCTGGCCCTGGACCAAATGATTCTGCTTGTGTTTCCTGGATTTATCATTCTGCAGTGGACCCTATCAAGGTAAAATAATATTTCACAATACTACCTGAAAATGAATCTCATAAATAGGCAAAAAAAAAAAACCAAACATTTAATAAATGTAGTTAGAAACCCAGTCCTCTAAAGTACTAGAGCCCAAAGTTTGGGGAAAATTGCTTAAATTTTAAACTTGTTTTACAGACACAATGAGGGATGAACAAACAGGCAAAACACACACACACACACGTCACACCACACCCACCCACCAGAGTTTTAGTGCCATTTATCAATATCAAATTAAGCCCCTCTATCTCTTCCACCCATCCTTCTCATTCATCTCTGGTAATCCAAATTTTGCTTTCAGTGTCCAAGAGTTATTTTTATTGTGTTTTGTTAGGCAAACCTAAACTTTTAAGATAGAGCAAATTGCCTTATAGGTTCCAAGGGAAAAAAATATATATATATTTCTGTTAATAAAATACACAAACACACACATAGGTTATACTATATATGTGTGTGTATGCATATGCACATACATATGTGTATATATGCATATATGTATATGCATATGTATAAATATATGTGTATATGTATAATATATGTATAATATATATGCATATTTTAAAATATATGTACATACATATTTAAATGCATGCATTCTGTATGCATACTGTTTTATAGCTATCATTTAATGATTGCTTACTATATTTTAAACAGTTTACTTGGTGTTTTGGATGCTATAAATGTAAGATTTCCATCTTCAAAACCAATGATCTAGCTTGGAAAGACAGATGAATATAATCATGATATATATATATATATATATATATATAAAATCATGATGTTTTATATATTATATATAATGCCATGTATACATGATGACATGTATTTAACTATGTATGTACATATCTTTTTAAATATATGTACATGTAGGTACACATGCATACATATATGTGTGTTTGTACATATACATACACATATATCTTATAATGTTAGCAGTTCCTTAATGCCATATAAAAAGACCAAAAAGAATAAAAGTTTTTACTTCTACTTGGATTAAGGTGTGAACAATAGAGAAACTGGAAAGATAACAATGGAGGATATATGTACTTTGGGCTTTGAAATAGCAGTATAGCAATATGCTGTAATGTAAGGGATATGGAAAAGAGTAGGGCAAAAGAAACATGAGAGAATTCTTGAGTTGTGAATGTGTTTGGTAGTTTTGAAGATCAATGAACAGTACATTCTAGATAAAGCATAGGTAAGATTGTACATCTTACCTGTGTCCCAAGCACAGGTTGTGGAGATGAATTAAATAATATTGTCAATGTGCCAGTAAATGTAAGATCTTCTGGTGAAGTGCTTTAAGCACAATTGTATTAGATGTGAGCCTCTCTCCTGAACAGAACCGCCACCCAGGAGCAACTTCATCTCTCTCACTCCCTTCCATAGGACCTGTATAGTGGCCTAGTTGGACCTTTGGCCATTTGTCAAAAGGGCATTCTGAAACCTGATGGCAGAAGAAGTGACATGGACCGGGAATTTGCCTTGTTGTTCTTGATTTTTGATGAGAACCAGTCTTGGTATCTGGAAGAGAATGTGGCAACCCATGGACCACAGGAACCAGGCCGTGTCAACCTACAAGATGAGACATTCTTGGAAAGCAATAAAATGCATGGTCTGTATAAAATACCCCACCTCCCTTCCAAAGAAGTCCCCACTGATTGTATAAGGATTATCATACACAAGGAAATGATTTTTAGGAATTATGGAAAGGATAAGATGTAGAAAGGTACAATGAGACACATTAAAATAAATGTTCCCTGCTAGTATACATTTACATACATAAAACAGATAAGAATTACCTGTTAGATTAGTACCCAGAAATCAGAAAATTTCTATGATAAAGGCAGAATAGTTTAACACATGATAGAAGTCAAATGGACATTTATTACCCTCAGCTTACCAATTGAACTGACTATTTAGCACTCCTAAGCTTTAAATCATTTATTTAGTCTCAATAAATTTTTTGTCAGTTTAGGTGTGACTTCTGCTTTTTCTGTAAATTTAAATATAGATAGATGAAAGGCAGTTTGTTTTTTAGTCTGTTTTTAAATTGAAAGTGCAAGTTAAAGATGAGATAATTGAAAGAGCGAAACTCAGAGAATAACATTCTAGGTTTATAATACATACAAGGAAGAACTTTTAGATGTTTGGATACATTTCATGCAATTTTACATCCTTAATTTTTTATTATATCTATTACATCATCCTTTGTTTTTGTACAGTATATGACTTCCCAGTGAAATCCCCACCAATTCACTTATGTACCATTGCCATAGTCACGTGTGCTCTTCCCACTCATGCCCTGATACTTCTTCCTCCTCCCCTACAGAATGTCTTTGATCTATAGTTACCTGATAACTTTGGTTTTAATTTGATTTTGGGGGGGTTAAAGTCTGCTTTATTACAAGTCAATAAGTACTGATCCCCAAAGAACACAGATTCTTTATCAAATTACTGGTTCACTGAACCAGCTGATTGCTGACACGATAAATTGAACTCCATCCTGCTATCTGGAAAATGAAGTCATAACCAGTTGACATATGGCATATGCTGTTCCACCAACTGTAAGAATCAAGGTGGCCTATGCATGAAGACGTCAGCTACCCCACTCTTTAGATACACTGTATTTCAGTTTTCTTCCTGAAATAATTTTTGTTTCTCTGGAACTTGATTTTCTACTGCCTGTGTGAAGCAGTACTTATGGTCCTCTGGAAATATGACAAAGAACCAGCAAAGTTTACAGCATCTTGGCTTAGTCATTCCATTATTTGGTTACTCTATATTGCTCTTATAAGTTATACCATTCAATATTTTTATTTTTCTTTCTGGCTTATTTCACTGAGCATAATCCCTTCCAGTTCCATCCATGTTGCCATGAAGGGCACTAGTTTACCCTTTTTGATTGCTGAGTAATATTCCATTGTGTAAATATGCCATGTTTCCTTGATCCAGTCATCTGTTTTTTGGGACATGTGGGTTGTTTTTATAGCTTCCCCATTGTAAATTGTGTTGCAATAAGCATAGGGGTTCGGGTGTCCTTTTGAATAATATTTTTGTGTTCTTTGGGTAGATTCCTAGGAGTGGAATTGTTGATCATGTGGAAGCTCCATTTTTAGGAGACTGAGGAAACTCCACACAGCTTTCCATAGTGGCTGGACCAGCTAGCACTCCCATCAGAAGTGTAGAATTTCTTTTTCTCCACATCATTGCCAACACTCATTGTTGCTAGTTTTTTAATTTGTGCCATTCTCTCCAGTGTAATTCTGTATCTCATTGTGGTTTTGATTTGTATTTCCCTGATTTGTGATCTTGAATATTTTTTTTATATGCCTGTTGGCCATTTTCATTTCTTCGTTGGAAAAGTATCCTTTTAGCTCTTCTGCCATTTTTTGGACAGGGTTGTTTACTTTGTTTTTGTTCAGTCTTGTTATCTCTCTGCAGAAACTTGTGATCACTCTCTTATCATTAGTATTACATATGTAAATTTTCTTCCAATCAGTAAGCTATCTCTTTGTTTTGGCTGATGTGTCTTTTGCAATACATTAGCATCTTAATTTGATGTAACCCCTGCTGTTTTTCTTTTCCTCAATTGTCTTTGTTTTAGGTGATGTGTCTTTAAATATGTTACTGATATTTATGTCATGTAGTGTTTTGCCTATATTTTCTTATATATATTTTATGGTTTCAGGTCTTATGTCTAATTTTTAATACATTTTGAGTTGGTTTTTATGCATGATGTGAGGTAGTAGTCTAGCTTCATTCT